GCTCGTAGTGGTGAAAAAAATAGAGAATAGAATGCTGAAATAAAAAATTAATTACCTAAGAAATATCATAGATTGTTGCTTACGAACCAGCCATAAACAATTCCTGAAGTTGAAAATTTCGCCGTTACAGTTATTGTGAACCTTCACTGTATACCAACTATTTCCAAACCAGATTTAACGACAAAATTTCTTTCTTTATATGTTTACACAACGAAATTTAAAACCGCTGCTCGTTAGCATGGAACAACAAGTTATTGAAGCTTTGAAAGGACAAAGATTTTGGCAAAAGCATAGCCCACATACAGGGCTTGCACCTGAACATCCTGCTCTACGGCCAGGAGATGGCAGCAGTTAACAGAGCTGAAGACTGGAAGCGACGGAAATGAATATTCTAAGATTAATATGAAAAATGAAGTAATATGCTCTGATATCAAATACATTTGTAAAAGAGAGTGATTAGAATATGCAACAATTCAACTGAACATGGACTCGCTGAAAACAATGCGTTTAAGATGGTGGGGTCATTGACTACGAATGGATGATAGTCGTCCTGCGAAGCGAATTTTGAAAGCAAAGCCTGATGGCAGGCAATCACCAAGAAGATTTGGAACATGATGGGATAATCTCATTAAAAATGATATACCATCGAAAAGAAGCACTCATTTATTTGATCTAAGTGGAATACTTGAAAGGCACCCGACAGCTTCTTCGATGCAATAAGACAAAAGCATATGTATGAAAACGAAGGTTACCACACATGGGTTGTGCATCATTTCAATAACATTAAACGACTTTGTAATTTCAGTCCTGATCAGAAAAAAACATGAAACACCGACCTGAATGAATAACCACGACGTTAAAAGGGCCAATCCACTGTAATGGCCATTGAAACGATAGTAGTAGGCGTAAAACGTGAAATGATACAAAAAGAAAAACCTAAAATCAAACCATCGTTACCAAACAACATGTTATACATATTAAAGATACATTTTTATACATATCAAAGATTATATACATATCATACAAAGTTTATACATATATAACGGCTACAGTCACTACAATGAGTAGAGACCTACATATGCTTCGCAAAATAAAAACAATAATAACAGCGAACGCAAAAATTATTAGGTTCAAGCAAAAATTCAAGGCTGTGGTTTCACTGACGTTAGAAGCGCATGAATACGCATCCTGCGTTTATAGTCTGAAAACACAACGGAACGGTATAATTACATATAACGCAAGAAAATGATTTAACAGGGGATGCATTACGTAACTGGCACTGCCTCATTTTCTCTTTCTCTGTATCGCCTTCTTCAACGTAAAATT